TTTGTCAGCTCACTACTACATTTAAAGACTCATGAATAATTTCTCACCACCCAGCAACAATATGTCACCTAACATTCTTAATATGTAACATGAATCCTTCACCCACAGTTCTTGTCACAGCTTTCACAGTGAATGATGAATGTTCCAGTTTCTGGAAATACTACCCAAGGTCTGAAAACCTCAGCTGAACTGTCTCCCACTACACTAACACATGAGGAGGTGCTTCAGATGCTGTTTCAGCCTGCTCTACCAGCCTGCCTTGAGAGAGATTGAGCCTGTACCTCATTGTATCATACTAGTTTAGTGAGCATCTTAAAGCATCTCCAAGATAACAAGAGATGATGCTGTGACATTCTAGTGTTCCATACTGACAAATGGAAACTCAGCCTTTGATTCCTGTCCCAACTTTTGTCTTCCATACAGGCATCACTGACTCTCAACAGATGTTACAGAAGGGATCATTATGTGCCTGCTTCTTCAAAGCAATTATTCCAGATAGTCCCTATAACTAGCACTACTGAATGCAGTGCACAGCCTGCGAAGTTTTTCCTCAGTGTCATGAAAGATTTTGAAGGAGAAACTAAAGAGCACAGAACAGGAAAAGAGAAACGGTGGGAAATCCAGGAAAAGGGACAAAAAAGAAGCAAGAATTTGCTTGTAAGATTAGTAGCTTTTAAGTTCATACAGTTGCAACAATAAACTATAAAAAGCAAACTCACCCGAATACAACTGAAACAGCACAGCTTGGAGCAATGAGGACACAGACGTGCATCGCGCAATTTCTCCATACAAATAAAACATCGGAATACCTCAGCAATGCTCTGCAAAGGGTAGATTATCGCTATTGTTAAGCCACATACTTCAAACATATCAGAGTTGCATTGATTTTCCAGGCAGAGGGCCAGGTTTCATCACTGCAGACCCATTCCAAACAGCTACAGATGGCAGCTCTCTCTGAGATGCACCAAGTCAAACACCACAGCTCTTCTCTCCACGTTCTCCTACACTACACCTGCTCTTAGCACCCACTGTATAACACTATTCTTCTTCAAGGAATAGTTTCTTTCCTTGGCTTCTGTTTTTCCAAGTGGGTCTTTCTGTAGCCAAAGTATTACTCCTGCTTGTGTTCACGTGGGATTAAACAGTTGTCAGAAGACACTATGCTGCACCTGCAGATTTGGAACCCTCAAGTTTCAACATATTGACACCAAATTAACTGCAAAACCTGTTAAGTGCACATGTGCATTATACAGAATACTAACAATAGGGGTTTAATAGGATATGGCTTTTTTTTCTTTTCATTTTTGTAAGACTTAAATTTTTTCAGGTCTACCATTAACACTAACTCCACAATTTCTACACTCTTATCACACCCAATTTGGTGTGGACTTCCTCCAATCTTGGACAACAAAAATATAACTCTTTTTTACTATACCCATTTGAAGAGACAAGAATTTCCTTCAAGAATACAACCACCTCATCTCTCTCCATTCCAAATACGAGAAGAGTGTTTTGAAATACCAAGCTAGGTTTTCTTTCCATATTGATAGATTTTTCATTGGAAAAGAAGTTTTACATTGTACAGGAGTTAGATCCCTTCCAGCTTTAACGATGGAACTTTTAAAGATTCTTCAGATGGGCTATTTTTTTTCCCCACAGTGTTGAAATTATAAATCAGCAGAAAAAGTGACGCAAATCTTCAATGTACAGACACCAGAGTATCTCCCATACATTAGTGCCTTCTGTAGTGGTTGCAATTAATGCAAATGCAGTATATGCATTTAGAGGAAGTCATCACACAAAGTGTTCTCAATTCTCCTCCTGTTTGGCTGCTATTAATAGAGACCACAGCAATGCGTGCCAGCTGCCCAGGTTACGGATGGGCACCGCTGAGAACTGTGCCTTCCTGCGTGCCAAGCCGGGTCCTGTCAGTGCCAGGTCTCCATCCACCTCCAGCACAGTCACCTCCCACGTTCCACCAATTGATTTTCTGATCCTACGCCGAATAACTGCGTGCCCCCTGGCAATGCCACCGCTTTACACCCCGACTCCTCTCACACGAGCCAAGCTCCCTGCTACGCGCATCCCTGCCC